CCCCAAAACCCCAAAACCCCAAAACCCCATATCCTTCAGAGAATATTGAAACCTAGCTTACATGTGCTCCTTCTTATACTTAATAAATTCTTCAAGATTTTCAAGGATTTCTCCAAAGAATTCCATCTCTTCCTCTTCGTAGAGATGAACCTGGTCTTTCATCATCTGGTGGTAGAGCGAGAGGCTAGTCTCTAGCTTTGGAACAATGTCGAGCTTTACCAAGACTGGGTCGAAATTTTCCTCAGAATAAATATCGAAAATAGCATTTAGAGACTCACAAATCACCCGTAGGTTTGGAGACTGGATATAGTGAAGAAGAAGTTTACAGATCCTCTCATTATCTTCAGCTGTGTGCTCAGTTGTAGAAAACATTGCCGAGAGGATAGTCAGACCGTGAACTATCATCTCTGTGTCTTTTACAGACTCGACTAATTGCAGGAAAGACTCAGAAGCTTTATTCTCTTCAAGAACTGATCTCATCATTTCAGGGAAGTTCTTAGAGTAAAGCCCAAGGAACCGGAGTCCACATTCAACGAACCTGCTTGCATAATTCTGAAATTTGAGAGCATTCAAGACTGTTTCGACCACTACTCGAGAATCTTTTTCATTTTCAGGATCAAAGAACATCTGTGGAGCTGCTATTAAGAGGTCTATGAGTACTTCTCAGGCTGAATATTGGACATCTATAACTAGACCACCAATCCCATGAATCTCTTCAAGGTTGACTTTAGTCTTCATTGTTACTGACTGCAGATGTTTCAAGATTTCAAGGAACAAAGTAGTATCTCCATTAAGACCAGTTACAGGTGTGGTAAATGTAGAAATGATCCATTCTGCTCTCTCATCTGGCTCTTCAGATTGTTGAGGACCTAGAGAATGATTTAGAATACCCTGTTGTATCGGCTACTTACCTAATCCTACCAAAACTTGGCTTAAAATTTCAAGTGCATTCATATGTCCGATTGCGAAATTTTTCCATTTCTTTACCTGTCCGCTCATCTCATTCAAGAAATCAGAGATTATTTGTGAAAGCTTATCATTGCTAACAGGCGGAGTATTTGAGATAGTCTCTTCTTCCTCGTTATTACTGGAAAGAGACCCTTTGATGTGCTCGATATTGTCAGAGAAATTCTCGTTGAACTCGTATTGAGGAGAATTCATACCAATCAATATTTTAGTCGCTGGAATATGAACAAAATTCACATAAGATTCAGACTCTGACAGCTTCTCGATGAATTCACCTGAAGAGAGGTTAAAGCTCAACCCGCTAAGATTGGAACAGATATGAATGTTGCTTTCTTCGAGAGAGCTAATGGCAGAGGTTATGTATTCACCAATATCACTGACATCTCTAATTTTGTCTCATAGCCCAGGGTTGTCCTTAGTCAAAGAGTATAAGAAATGTGTGAGCCAATATAAAATAGACTCATTTACCCAAATTTTATCTTCTTTAACATAATCACACTCTTTTGAAATCATAATTTGGATGGTCGTCTCCAATAAGCCTTCATGCTGACTAATGAAATCGAGATTCTCTTCGACACAAATACTTTCCAGAACAACAATAGTGTCCAACAGCTTATAAGAATTCTCGATGTAAAGTAGGGCTTTATCAGTATCGTTCTTGTGCATCTTGCCCCAGTTAGAGGTGAGTTCAACCCCAATGTTGACTAAATTGTCCTTAATAACATCCAAAAGGCCCTTTTCAAGATAACTTGCTAAGACTTCTGGCTTATTGTACAAATCTGCTGAGTTAAGAATGTTACTTATTGAAGCAAAAACACAAAGAGAGTTCTTCCTGATAGGGTCGTTGAGGCTGTCAATGACTCTCTTAGTCATCTCATCGTTGAAAATCTCAACTCCTAAACCCCTCAAAGGGTTGATATCAATTGTTGAAAGGGTGATATATGCCATTTCTCGAACTTTAGGATCTTGGTTACCTATTCTATCATAGAGAGACTTTTGGTCATCAGGAGTATTCTCAGCAAAGTACTCCTTTGCTCTCTTCTGAATTTCCCTAAATTTGGCTTGCTGAATCTGCTTCTTCCCAGCTTTTCTTGATCTATGTTTTGGCATTTTGTTCGTGTTTTCAATAAATTTATAAATTTTCGGGGTTTTGGGGTTTTGGGGTTTTGGGGTTTTGGGG